CAGCCCCGCTGCCCTCGCATGGCCCCGCTGCTCACCGGAGCAGGCAGAGCAGCATCCCCGGGCGCCGGAACGGGGCTCCCGCGGCAGCCCACCCCCCATGCCACGGCCAGGGAGGGGTCACATCGCCCCAGCCTCCCGCCCCAGCCCCGGCACATGTGTTTCCAATGTGGCTGGGAGCTCCAGGGAGTCGGCGTGCTCAGAAAGCAGCACCAAATTCCTTTCCGATCGAGTAATGGGCCCCAGCAGCCTTCGCGGGGCCGGGCAGGGGGAGGGGATGCTCGGACCCTTCAGGACCGGGCTGGAGCAGGGGAAATCCCAGACTAAACAGAGGGATCCCGGGCGGGCATGAGCGTGGCATTCCGCGGTGGCGGCCCAGGGCCAGGCTCTGGCACAGTGTCCCCCCAGGCAGCTCCCTGGCTCAGCCAGTCTGGGCCCTCCTCCCCGTGGACTGTCCCCATCACCTTGCCCGATGCAGCCCCACCAGCATCGCCCCTCATCCAGCACCCCCGCAGCGGGCCCTGCAGAGGGGATGATGTTCCCACAGGCACTGAGTGCCAGGAGCTCCGGTGACAATGGCATGGGGTGGCTGGGGACATTGGAGCAGCTGGGGACGATGGACCAAAGTCAGCCCCACGGATGGGGATGCCAGGGGATCACTGCCTGGCCGGGATCAGCGTTGGAGGTGTTTGTGGGGGAGCCGCCACCGGCCCCCTCGCCTTCCCGGGAACCGATTCTGCTTCTCTCAGCAGCTTTGGCAGGGACGGCTCCTTTGCAGCGGATGCCGGGAAGCGAGATGTACCCAGGGCTGACAGCTGCCGCCTGGCCGGCGACACACACGGCGCTTGCCCGCAGCGCCCCTGGGCTGACAGCGGGACTGTGGGGCCCTCCGGAGACCCCCGGGGACTGGGGGCACCTGGACCTGCCCAGGCCCACCCAGCCCTGTCCTGAGAGCAAGGACCTGCTTAGAGACAGACGTCTGACCGGCTGGGTTGTGGGTGCAGCCCAGCTGGGAGGTGGGAGTCCCCGGATGGGCGGTGGGTGTATCCCGGAGGGGTGGTGGATGCCCCTGGCTGGATGGTGGGTGCACAGTAGCTCTCCTCCGTCCGCCCCCCACCAAAAGCATCATGCACAGCATGCACCCAGCACTCCACACTGCCCAGCGAGATGCGCCCCAGCGCGCCGGCAGCGCTCCCACCCAGCCTGCCAGAGGCACCCTGGAGGGCAGGGAGGGGATGGCGGGGCAGATGGCCCCAGCCAGCCTCCCGGCACCCGGCTGGGCTGGGAGATGCGGGTGGGCTGGCAGTGGGTGATGCTCCCTGCAGCGGGCCCGGATCCAGCCGACCTCGACAACCGGTGCCCCGCACCGGGGCGCGGGCAGCGCGACAAGCCGGGGGTCCCAGCGGAGAGAACCACTCCCCTCCCCGACTCAACAGCAACCCCAGCCCGGCGGGGCAACCCCGGGCCGACACACCGCGACCCCCCAGGGATGCGGCAGCCCCGGAGCTTGGGGGAATCTCAGGGTAGCGGGAGCGGCGGGAGATGCTCGGTGTCCCCGCGGCTTCAGGCCTCTCTCTCTCCGCCGGGCAGCGGGACCGCCCGCTGCCGGGATACCGGTGAAGCCGGTCGGGAGCAGGACCGGTCGGGAGCGGGGCCGGGCTGCGGGCGCCCCGATCCCCTCCCCATCCCCCGTTGCCCCGGCGCCCCTGCCCGCGGCTCCAGCTCCAGACAATGGCGAGGAACCGGTGCCGGGCCCAGCACCGGGGAGCCCCACGGGGCCCTCCCCGCCGTGCGCGAATTCCCCCGCTCCCCGCTCTCGCTGCCCGGCTGGGGGTCGGACCGGGCCGTGCCGGGACTCCCGGGGCCGACGGGTCCCGGCGCCCGCACGTGCCGGCCCGGCGCAGACAAAGCGGGGACCGCGCCCCGGCCCGGTGCGGCGGGCAGGTGCGGGCACCGGGGGCGGCGAGCCGGGCACACCCCCCGCCGCCCCGCCCGCCTTTGTGTGCCGGGGCTCGCGGGGACGGCGGGGGGCGCAGCTCGGGGCGCGGCCGGTGTTACCGGGCGGCTCCGTGCACAAAGGGCGGCGGCGGCGGCGGGGACAAAGGGGCGGCGGCGGCGGCGGGCGCGCTCACCAGTCGGTGGGGCTGTCCTCGCCGATCACGTCCTGGTAGGAGGCGAGCAGCTCCAGGCGGTGCGCCGCGAAGCCGACGCCAGCCATGGCGGGGCCGGGATGCTGCCGGGGGACCGGAGGGACCGGCCGCCTGCCCGCCTCCGAGACACTGCCGCAGCGGCCGGGCGGAGGGGCGAGCGGCGGGGAGGCTCCGCCCGCCGCCGCGCCCGGTCCTAGCGCCGCGAACGGCGGCCCCCCTCCCCTCCCCTCCGCCCCCCCGCCCGGCCCCCGCCCCCGCCGCGCCCCCGGGGCGCCCCCGGGGCAGCCCGCCGGCCGCGCCGCCCGGCCCCGAGCCGGGACCCCGGGGGTGCGGGCGGCATCACCCCCGCCGCGGGCCGCCCCCGCACGCAGCTCGCCCCCGGGATCCCGCAGCCTGGGCTCTGCTCTGCCCCCGCAACACCGCGCTCCGGGCCGTCCCCAGCCCCAGGGACACTGAACCCCGGCTCAGCTCCTCCTGGGAACCTGCACGCCGGGTGATTTCGCATTCCGGGCTCTCCTCCGCCCTGGGGACGCATCCTGCGCTGCCCCTCCTGGGAACTTGCACTCTGGAGACCTCTCGTGCTGGGTGGTCCTCTCCATTCCCATATTCTCCCCTGCCCCATATCCTCTACACCCAGGGATGTGGCACACATGGCTTCCCGTGCCCTCCGCTGCCCCACGCCGAGCCCCCGTGCCCAAGGTTTCCTCTCCAAGGACACGGCACCGTCGGCTTTGCCCTACACACCCAGCCGTGCCCTCACTGCTCGCACAAGGGGTAACTGGACACAGCCTTTCTGGGGGCGTCTTTGCTGCCCATCTGCTCCTCTACCCCCACCACTGCCAAGCCACCGGTCCTTTCAGAACCCTTCAATCACCTTTTTCAGGAGGTTTTGCCTCTGTGCGACCCCACAGCTGGTTTTGCACTGACCCTCGAAGGGCTCTGAAGGGGCTCTCAGCCAGGTCCTAATGCTCCTGCCAGGACAGGCAGTGATTCCCTGTCCCCGGCGCTGCCCCCAGCCTGGACCAGCACCGCGCTGGAGGGGTCTCTGTGCCAGAGCAGCAATGGAGAGCACGCAGGGCCCGATTCCTGCGGGATGGGGATGTTGGTGGAGTGGCCCGTCACAAAAGAATCCCTTCAGGCAGCCCGTGGGACACGGGGACATGGGAGATGAGGGACATGGGACAGGGTGCCGAGGGTCCTGGCGCTGCCGCCCGCTCCCCCCACGCCCTCCTCACACCAGCATTTCCGAGCGAGGCCAGAGCCGGAGCCGCCCTAAGAGGCTGTGAGAGTTTGGGAGCAGCTGTGGAGCAGCTGCCGGGGCCAGCGCGGGGGCTGGGGCCGGGGCAGGCGCCCCACAAGCGGCTCAGATGGCTTTGGGGGTGGATGTGGTGAGACCCCGCTCAGGGATGTGGTGGGAGCTCCGAGCCTACCGCCGCCAGGCTTTGTTCTCCGAGCAGCGAGGCTGCAGCCCCTCCCCAGGCTCCACCTCCGCAGCCCACCCGAGACCCTCCTTCCGCTGCCTGTGCACAAGCTCCTCACATGGTGCGCAGAGCTGGTGGGCAAGAGATGCCCTTGGCAAAGCACAGAGGCACCTTGGGTGGTAGAGGAGTCATCAGGAGGGCCCAGAGGCAACAGGGAACCAAGCAGAGCTAAGCCCCCCGCGAGCACAGACCTTGCAGTGGCACCAGGGGATGCTTGGCTCTCCCCAGGGAAGAGGCAGGTTGACTGTAGCACCCTGGCCCTGCTGCACAGCTGGGCACCCCGGGGCTGATCTGGCAGAACCTGTTCCCAGCCTGTGCTAGCCCAGCAGGCTCCGTCCCGCACCACTGCCTGCCCCTGCCCCTTTCCTACCCTCCACTCACGGGTTGCTGTCCAGCCAACCCAGGGTTGGTTCAGGGCCTGCCCACATGGGGCCACAGCCACCTCACCTTCCCCTGTGCTTCCTCTGACCTTGGCTGCACAGCTGGGACTCACACGTGGGCACTCAGCCCTGCTCCTGCCAGCCCTGCCAGGCAGGCACCAGCTGCTTCTGTGCCATGTCCTGCTGCTTCTCAGTGTGACCATCCCACTGCTCTCACGTGCCCCAGCCCGACTGCCTGGCCCAGCCCCAGCTTGACTTTATCCCTCGCCTTTCCTTGCCCCATCTTTGATGTGCTTTTGCACTCCTGGAACTGGCAGTGAGAAGATGTGGCACCGCAGCCCAGATCTGGGTGATGCCAGGAGGTATTTGGCTTCCCACAGCCAGCTCCTGCCCCAGGCAGAACCTTCCAGTAGATGAGCAAGACGATTTTCCTTACAATTGCTCATCATGGCAAGAGCTGCAATTATTAATGACCGTTCCAGCTGTCAGAGTGGAGAGGGAGGAGAACACCCACACGCGCTGCCCTCGAGCCCGTTCCAGCCGGAGGTGCTGGTGTGGCCTCAGCCGTCCTTCGGGACAGCAGCTGCAGCGCGTGAGCGAACGCTTGGCCGCTCCACGCTGGAGAACGCCCAGAGCTGGTGCACGTGGCCCATGCGTGCCCCACGACTCCTCAACCCCTCTACAGTACTCAGGACGCTGCCAGGTATACAAGGACCTCCACTAAGGTCTCACCCCTTCCCCATCTCTCCTTGCTGCATTTTGCCCCCCAGATTAATTACTGCCCCCATTAGTGGTCCTGCCTGCTACAAGAGGGACGACCCAGCGGACACAAAAGGTCAAGCCTGGGCAGAGGTGGAGAAATCTGAGGCGAAGAGTCCCTGGAAAGCTGGAAGGAGCTGAGTCAGGCCCCAGAGGGAGCGGGATGAGGGCAGAGCATGACCTTCCCAGCCGGCCACACCTCACTCGGCAAAACCACTGGCCTGGAGACAGCCGGCACTTGCAGAGATGTGTTTATTAAAGGCACTAAAAGCACCGTGGCTACATCAGCGCAGCCCGACCAGAGGGTGTGGTTTGGGGGGAGGCATCGGTGGCCCCAGGATGGCAGTGGCAGAGATCTCTTTGGTAGGAAGCTGTGCCCAAGCCTTGCGGGAGCAGCAGCCTGGCTGGGCTGGCCATCATTACACGCTGCCAGCCCACGGCTGGGCCATGCCAGGCTGGGGGTGTTGCCAGCCCCAGGGGAGCAGGGGGGCAGCAGGGTGGGAGGCATGAGGCACAGACACCCCTGGAATGCAACTGGGGCAGGAAGCCACTGCAGTTTGAGGGTGGCTGGTGGGTTGTCATGGGCAGGGCCCCAGCAGGGGAGCAGGGCCAGGTCTCCAGCCCCAAGCACACAGCAGGGAAGGTTGGGGAGAGTGAGACAAGAGCTGGTCCTCACCCACTCAGGGATGTGTAAGGAGTATCCCTGCCCCAGCACTGAGCTGCCAGGCAGCAAGGGAGCAGGCCAGCCGTGGCAGACCCCCTCCAATTCCAGCCTCAGCATGGTTGTACCCACCATGCTGCGTGGCTCAGGGGCAGGAGATCCATGCAGCATCCCCTTTCCAGGGCTCCTAGGGCCAGTTGAGAAGCATATAAGAAGCCACCCAGCTATAAAAGGCTCTGGACCCAGCACTGTATCTGGCTGAAGTCGAGCCAGGAGCTGCCAGGAAAGAGGCAGAAGCAAGGGAAAGGGCCAAGGGCCCAGTCTGGCTCCCTGGGGCCAGCAGGGCAGGGGAAGAGGAGCATGCAGGGCCAGGGGCATGTGTAGGCACAGCTGAATTCCCACCCCTCACACATGGGAGAAAGCATGGCTCTTGCACAGAGGCTTGTCCTTCTTGGAGTAGAACGTCTTCCCTTCCAGGTTGGTCTGGCAGATCTGGGGAGGAAAGTACAGGTGGTCAGGTCGGGGGGCTGAGTCAGCCTCTGGTCCCCCACAGCCCAGCACTGGTGTCACACAGGGACCTCCACATGGCCCTGGGGCACTGCGAGGGAACAGAAGGCTCAGAGCAGAGCCCCAGGCGTCCGGAACGGAGGCAAGTGGGACAAATCTTGTGGCAGCAGGTTCCCTGTGCTGCTGGTGTACCCCACCCAGAGCAGGACTGTCGGGGAGAGGCACAGGCCCTGCAACAGTCGGGGAGGGAGGCACACTGCTCACCGCACAGACAAAGCAAGTGTCATGCCAGCTGAACCCCAGCGCCTCCAGGAACCGGTCCCCAGCATCGATCTTGAAGTCACAGCCGCGGCACTTGGTGCCAAACATCTTCTCATAGTCTGTGAGGAAAGGCAGAGACAGGTCAGCACTTCCATGCACTACAGCCGCTCATGCCAGGGGAGCAGGGCTGCAGCTCAGCCAGGATCCCACAGGCACAGCCTGGGGACAACTCTGCCAGCCCCCATTCAGGTGAGAAAAAGCCTGGGACACCCGGGAAAGGTGCAGGGTGGCATAGCCAACACAGGGCTCCAGGGGGAGGAGGAGAACCTCATCTCCCAGGATGCAGCACTCGCTTTGATGTACATCCTCCCTCATCGCCATGGCAACATAGGAGCTATGGCACTACCCTGCAGCTAGGGAGAACCAGGTGGAGGGCTCAGGGCTGTGGGATTGGGGTCTCTGTGCTCCCCGCAGCCCAGGGGGAGCCCTGCAGAGCAGGGCAGCTCATACCCCCAGCCCTGTGTGCAGCTGCTGAGTCCCAATGCGCCCCAGGGCCACATGAGGTGACACATGGGGCCCCTGGGTCCTACCTCTCTCGCAGTAGGGCTGTCCCTCCTCCATGTAGAAGGCTCGGTTGCGGATGGGAGTTTTGCAGGCGTTGCAGGTGAAGCACTGCACGTGCCAGGTCATCTTCAATGCGTGCATCACCTCCTGGAGGGGAGCCACTGTCAGCCAGGGGCAGGAGCACCAAGGGCAGGAAGGGACAAGGAATCCCCTGAGATGGACCAAGGCGGGAAGGGACAGAGCCAGGCACTCACAGCAGAGGACAAGGACAGGAGATGGAGGGCAGGCTGAGGGACACTCACCCCAGTGATCTTCTTCTTGCACTTGGCGCAGCTGGGTGCGTAGCGCGTGTCGTAGCACTTGGGGCAGAAGATGGAGCCTTTCTCCTCAAAGAAGCCGCCCTCATCCAGCACCTTCCTGCACTGGCAGCAGATGAACTCCTCGGGGTGGTAATAATGTCCCAGCGCCACGAGGTACCGTCCCCTGTGGCAGGACAGAGCCAGGTCAGCCATGCCGGGGCCCAGGACGCTGGTGTGGCAGTGGTGGCAGCCAGGGCTCACCTGATGACCTTGTTGCACTTGTAGCAGAGGGGGGTGCGGCCGGGCCCCTCGGGGGCTTGCTGGGCTGCCTGCACGATGGAGCTGCGGTTCTGCATGGGGGTCGGCGTGGCCGGCTGGCTGTGCTTGCTCACCACCGTGCTCGTCTTGTCCGGGGCGTAGCGCTCGGCAAACGAGGGGTCCACAGCCCAGGGTGGGCGGCTGGTGGGGCTGGGGGTGGCACTGGGGGTCCTGGGGGCTGCACACACACACACACACACACACACACAAGTCTTAAGGAGAATGCTCCTGATCCTCGGCAGCCCCTCCCCAAAAAGCCCAGAGATGTTTTGCTCACCCAGTCCTGGCTCAGTCTTCATTGTTGCTCCTGGGGACGGGTCCGGCACGGAGACCTGGCTACAGAGCAAGCAGTTAATCCAGCCTGCCCTGCTCGCCCCCACTGCCCAGGGGGTGCAGGCAGGGCTCCCCATCCCAACAAGCAGGAGGGAGCTGGCCAAGCCCCCATGCCCAGCAGTAACTGGTTTAGAGATGAAGTACTGAGCCAAGGTCCTTCAGTCCTGCCAAGACACAGCACCCCCAGGGTCTCTGGTACCCACCGTGGTGGTCTGGGGAGAGGCAGGAGGGAAGGTTCTGGGCTTCTCCAGACTGACCAGGGACCCCAGGGACCACACTTTGGCTGCCTACTAACATCTGATGATCACCCCCAGTCTCATTGGGGTGCAGGGGAACCTGGATGTGACCTGATGCAGGGATCCAGGATCCAGCTCAGCAGCTCTGAGAACAGCCAGGGCAAGCCAGGGCTAAGAGGCACAGCCCAATGCAAGAAGGGGGACAGAGAGAGGGACAGCCAGTGGCTCTGTGCTTCTCCAAGACAAATTCAAAAAGGAGATGGCAACAAACACAACTTTGATTTGTGTCAGAGCTAGCTGGACAGAGCTGGTACCCAAGGGTCAAGGCACCAGGGCAGGAGGTGTCACAGAGATGTAAAGGCAAAAAGTGGGGTGCTTTCCACCCCCCTGCCTGGCTGCACAGAACAAGGAACGACCCTGACAAGCTGGTGACATCCACAAGCTCAGCTGTCCCACAGCCCCACGTCAGGCTTGCAGGACACTTTGCCCTAGGTCCAGATACTGCCTAAACATCACAACAACCCAGTGAGATTTGGCCAGTGCCACCAGCCACTCCCAACCCGCCGTTTCTGGGACACCACGGCGCAGCTCAGCATTCCCAGCTGAGGGGCAGCAATGCCCAAGAGGTTCTGCCCAGGACGTGCAGCCCCCCAGCTCCTGCTGCCACACACTCCCCTTACCTGGGCTTCCTAACAAACACATCATCATGATCCTCCACTGAGCGCAGCAGGAGAGAAAGGAGGAAACAGTCAGTCCTCACAGAAAGAGGCTCGGGCACATCAAGAAGGGAAAAGGGAAAAGAGGAAAACCAATCTCTCCTCCCAGCAACCCCTGCCCCAAAACAAAGCCCTGCCTGGCCACAGGGCAGACCACAACCCCAGACCAATGTTACCATCATGAGACCACGCACAGCCCCAGGCAGCTCCCACAGACACAACCACCCCACAGGGATCACATGGGGCCAAATCCAACACTCCAGACTTTGCTGGACCCTGGCAGCACAGGGAGAGTGCAGCACCCCCAGGCAGTGCCAGGCCCTGTGGGAACTCACTGCTGCTGTCTGTGCCCGTCAGCTGGGCCAGTTTGAGGAAGGAGCGGGACTGCGAGGTCCCGGTGCGGGGCTGCCAGTCCTCAGCATCCTCCATCAGTCGCAGCTTCCCGGGGTTGCACCCGGGGGTGCTGGGGGGCTCCAGAGGCTGCGGGGGCTGTCTGTGAGTGACAGAGGGCAGGAGCTCAGCCAGCACAAAGCACACACTCTGCTCCGGAACAGGGAAGCACTCCAAAAGGTGCCCTGGCGCATGGCAACACCTCTGCCAAACCCTGGCACTCACCGCTGCTCCACCGTGCCCCAGCTGGACCCGTGGGAATCCCTGTGGCATCAGAAAAAATGGTGGCACAGCAGTCAGTGGCTGATCCATGGCTCAGCCCATGCTTTCCATACACACCCACGATCTCAGAGATATAAGAACCTCATGGAAATGCCAACAGCATTCACTCCTGAGCAGCCTTGCAGCCATTCCATGACCCCACATGATATTGTGCCCTAGGTACAGTGCCTGCCCTGTGACTCCAAAACTGCCCAGTGAAGTGTTGTGCCACCAGCCACCCCTACACATCGTGCTGCATGTTGACCTCCCCAGCTTGGTGCCAGCAGTGCCCAGCGAGTCTTGCCTGCACACCCATTTGGGGACAAACTTTCTGGCCAGGGTGTGTCCAGGCAGGAATATCCCAAGGTGAAGGTCAAAGCAGTGGTTGAGCACTAGCAGTGCCTGTTGTGGGGCGAGTACAGGGTGGGCTCTGCAGCTCCACCACCACCTCAGCTCTGGGAGAGGACAAAGAGGGAGAGAAGAATCCACAATAGGACAAAGAGTTTGACCAGAGTCATGAGAAGTAGCGATGCTGAGGGGAAATGAGCCAGCAGCACTCACCCAGCTCTGCCCCACCAGGGTCACACGACAACATGCCCCAGGTGCAGGCACTACCCAGCACCTCCCAACATCCCATAGCCAGGTTTTCCCAGTGCCATCAGCCTCCTCCACTCATTGTATGCCCAAAGGGCTACAGCACAGCTCAGTATCGCCAGCTCAGAGCCAGCAGTGCCCAGACACCTGGGACATGCAGCCTCAGCACGTGCTCCCCTTACCTGGGCTTTTTAACAACCTCATCCTCGCCATCCTCCACTGAGTGCAGCAGGAGAGAAAGGGGGAGATGGCATCAGTCTGCAGTGACTGATGCCCAAGAAAAGCAGGAAAGGAACAGAGGAAAACCAACCTCCCCACCCACCACACCCTTGCCCTATCACACAGCCCTGCTTGGCCACGGGGCAGAGCATGGCCCCAGACCAGCCCCGGACAGATCTCACTGGCTCAGCTGCCTCAAGGGGTGACTCGGGGCCAAAATCAAACTCCTGATGCCACATCACCCCACTGCCTCTCCCAACCTCTGGTTACCCCGAAACAGTCCCGCATCCCCAGGCAGTGGCAGGCCCTGTGGAACTCACTGCCATCTGTGCCCGTCAGCTGGGCCAGTTTGCGGAAGGAGCGGGACTGGGAGGTCCCGGTGCGGGGCTGCCAGCCCTCAGCATCCTCCATCAGTCGCAGCTTCCCAGGATCACACCCGGGGGTGCTGGGGGGCTCCAGAGGCTGCCTGTGAGTGACAGAGGGCAGGAGCTCAGCCAGCACCAAGCACAGACCCTGCCCAACACTGCAGCACAGGGCAGTGCTGCCAAATGTGACCTGGCACACGGCAACACCTATGCCAGACCCTGGCACTCACCGCTGCTCCACTATGCCCCAGCCGGACCCATGGGAATCCCTGTGACATTGGGAAAAACAGCAGCACAACAGTCACTGTTGGACCATCCCTGCCATACGCACCCACAGCCCCACGGAGGCACGAGCCACGTGGAAATACGGACCACAGCTGTACAGGATGCAAAGCACCAAGACCAGTTGCTGCTCAGTACCTCCCAACCTCTCCAGCAAGGTGTTGTGATTGTCACCAGCCACCCTTACCCAGGTGAGTTCTTGGTGCAGGACTCTCCTGAGGTGACAGAGCAGTGGCTGAGTGCTGGCAGTGCCCATTGTGCAGCTCTGAAAACACCCCAAGTCTGGGAGGGAGGGAAGAACCCCCAGCAGCGCAAAGAGCACCCCCAGAGTGACTGCAAGCAGCAAGGGTGAAGTGGCTGTGGGGGTTGAGCCTGGCACGGGCACCTTGTGGGTCCCACTGCTGCCCCTTACCTGGGCTTTTTAATGGGCTCGTCCTCACCATCATCCACTGAGGACACCAAGAGAGAAAGGGGGAGATGGAGTCAGTCTGCGGCAGCTGGGGCCCAGGCACAGCAGGAAGGAAAGGGAAGGGAGAGGAAGGAAAAGTGCCCTCTCCTCCCACTGCCCCCCTTCCCCAAGACACAGCCCTGCCTGGCCACGGGGCAGAGTGCAGCTCCAGCCCAGTGGCACCACCACGAGCCCACACAACCCTCAGCAGCTCCTGCTGGTTCAGCTGCTGCAGAGGGCCCAAATGGGGCCAAAACCAATGCCCTGCAGTAACAACACACCACGGCCTTCACCAGCTGCCCCAGCAAAGCTGGGCACGCCTGGGCAGCCAGCCAGTGCCAGGCCCTGCTCACTCACTGCTGTTTGCGCCCACCAGCCGCGCCAGTTTGCGGAAGGAGCGGGACTGGGAGGTCCAGGTGTGGGGCTTTGAGTCCACAATGTCCTCTAACATCCGCAGCTTCACAGGGTCACACACTGTGTCACCGGGGGGCTCCAGAGGCTGCGGGGGCTGCCTGTGAGTGACAGAGGGCAGGAGCTCAGCACCAGGACTGGACCCTGCTCTGGAACAGGGAAGCACTCCAAAAGGTGCCCTGGCACATGCCAACACCTCTGCCAGAACCTGGCACTCACCGATGTTGCCCCGTGCCCCAGTTGGACCCGTGGGCATCCCTGTAGTATCAGAAAGAATGGTGGCACAACAGTCAGTGTTTGACCAGCACATCCCTCCCCATACGTATCCACAACCCCAGAGACGCATGAGCCTTGTGGAAATGTTGACAGCATTCAATCCTCATCAGCCTTGCAGCCATTCCCTGGCCCCATATGACATTGTGCCCCAGGTCTGGTCTAGTTCCCTACCCTGCAACTCCTGACACCCCCAGCAAGGTGCTGTCAGTGCCACCAGCCACCCCTGCCCACTGTGTCCAGCACACTGTGCTGCATCTTGGGCTCCCCAGCTTGGTGCCAGCAGTGCCAAGCAGGTCCTGCCTGCACACCCAGCAGGAGGACACCTCATCTGGGGACAGCCTGCCTGGCTGGTGGGTGTCTGGGCAGGACCCTCCTGAGGTGAGTCAGAGCAGTGGATGAGCACTGGCAGTGCCTGTTGTGGGGTGAGCCTGTGGCTCTGCCAACAGCCTGGTTCTAGGAAAAAGGAAAGTACAGAATAGAGGGTGGAGAATAAGGAGAGGAAAGAAGAAAGAGTAACAGGGCAAAGAGCTTCTCCTGAGTGACTGCAAGCAGTGAGAGAAAACAAGCCTTGTGGGCTGAGCCCAAGGTGGGTACCCTGTGGCTCCTGCTGCTGCCCTGGCACACGATCCCCTTACCTGGGCTTTTTAATAAATTCATCCTCACCATCCTCCACTGAGTGCAGCAGGAGAGAAAGGGGGAGATGGAGTCAGTCTGCAGCAACTATGGTCCAGGAAAAGCAGGAAGGGAAAGGAGGAAAACCAACCTCTCCACTCGCCTGGCCCCATTGCACAGCCCTGTCTGGCCACAGGGCAGAGTACAACCCCAGACCAGCGGCACCACCAGGAGCCCACACACAGCTCCCAGCAGTTCCTGCTGGCTCAGCTGCCTTCAGGGAGTTAATTGTAGCCAAAACCAACACTCCCGGGTGCTGCATCACCCCACTGCCTCTCCCAACCTCTGGTTACCCCAAAACAGTCCCATATCCCCAGGCAGTGGCAGGCCCTGTGGAACTCACTGCCATCTGTGCCTGTCAGCTGGGCCAGTTTGCGGAAGGAGAGGGACTGGGAGGTCCCGGTGCGGGGCTGCCAGTCCTCAGCATCCTCCAACATCCTCAGCTTCCCAGGATCACACCCGGGGGTGCTGGGGGGCTCCAGAGGCTGCGGGGGCTGCCTGTGAGTGACAGAGGGCAGGAACTTCAGCCAGCACCAAGCACAGACCCTGCTTCAGCACAGGGCAGTGCTGCCAAATGTGCCCTCACCAGACCCTGGCACTCACCACTGCTCCACTGTGCCCCAGCTGGACCCATGGGCATCCCTGTGATGTTGAAAACAATGGTAGCACAACACTCAGTATTTGACCACAGCACAGCCCATCCCTCACAAATGCACTCCAGAAGTAGAATTTGGAGACACTCAGCCAGCTCTGCCCTGCCATCCCACAGCCCCACGCCAGGCTCACAGCACACTGCCCAGTTGCTGCCTAGCACCTCCCAATGCCCCCAGCAAGGTGTTGTCAGTGCACCAGCCTTCTCCAGATCCCTTTTCCTCAAGAAGCAATGGCAGAACTTGGCCTCCCCAGCTTGGTGCCAGCAGTGCCCAGCAGGTCCTACCCAGCACAGGACATCTTGTCTGACCAGTGGGTGCCCTGGCAGGACTCTCCGAGGTGATGGCCAGAGCAGTGGCTGAGCTCTGGCAGTGCCCACTGTGGGGTGAGTGCAGGGAGAGCTCTGCTGCTCCACCAACAGCTCGGCTCTTGGAGACAGAGAGAAAAAACAGCAACAGAGCAAAGAGCTTCCCCTGAGTGACTGCAAGCAGCAAGAGAGAACCAGGCGTGCGGGCTGAGCCTGAGGTGGGCACCTTGTGGCTCCTGCTGCTGCTCCAGCACACACTCCCCTTACCTGGGCTTTTTAACAAGCTCGTCCTCACCATCCTCCACTGAGCACAGCAGGAGAGAAAGGGGGAGATGGAGTCAGTCTGTAGCAACTGAGGCCCAGAGACAGCGGAAAGGGAAAAGGAACAGGAAAGGGAAAAGGACCTCTCCTCCCACTGCCCCCCTGTCCCAACACACAGCCCTGCCTGGCCACGGGGCAGAGCACGGCCCCAGCCCAGTGACACCACCATGAGCCCACACAGCCCCAGGCAGCTCTGCCTGGCTTAACTGCCCCACAGAGCCAAAACCAACACTTCACGAGGCACCAAAGCCTTTATCCAGCTCCAGTTTCCCCAGCAAAGCTGGGCAGTCAGCCAGTGCCAGCCCCCGTGGGAACTCACTGGCGTCTGCGCCCACCAGGCGGGACAGTTTGCGGAAGGAACGGGACTGGGAGGTCCAGCTGTGGGGCTTTGAGTCGTCAATGTCCTCTAACATCCGCAGCTTCACAGGGTCACACACAGGGGTGCTGGGGGACTCCAGCAGCTGTGGGGGCTGCCTGTGAGTGACAGAGTCGTCTGTCAAATCTGACAGATCTCCTGGGGCTGTCCCCCTCCTTCCCCAGCACAGAATCACAGCACACCAGTACCAGAGATGTCACACCCCACTCCCCAGCTCCTCCCTCACAAAGGCTGGGCCTGTGAAGGACTGACTCTGGAATGACCACCACCATTCCTGGCAATTTGAAACTGGCCCCAGGGGCCAGAAAGAGAAAGGACAGAGCAAGAATAAGCCAAGGTCAAAAACAGCATCAGGGAAGCTGCACCACAGCTGTCTATGGCAGCCACCTGGCCATGGGCACAGTGCCCAGCACAGCCCATCAGCCCTTGCCCAGCACAGACAGATCTTGGGGAACAGGGAATGGATCACACACAAGGACACTCCAGGGCCCCAGCAGCTAGCAGAGACAGGCAGCTGTCCCCTCTACAGTGGGGACAGCTTGGTGCCAGGAGTGACCCACCCACATGGGCAGAGCAGTGCCTGCTGCCCATCCCCAGGCTGGCCCTGCCCAGAAGGACGGGGCACTGGCAGGGAAGAGGCATGCAGGGAGGATAGAGAGAGCAGGTAAAAGGCTTACTGACTTGTCAAGGCTCAGCACCTGTAGGGAGAGGGAAAGAGAAAGGGAGGAGAGAAAGAAAGAAAAAGGAAGGTGAAATTAGACCTACAGCACCCAAGAAGTTCCCAGAGCTCACCTATGGCCTGCATTAGCCCCCTGTCCCTGAGCCTCATACCCAGCTCACCCAGGGCTGAGAGCACACTGGGGCACAGGGGCAGATGCCAGCAGACCAGACTGTACTCCCTCAGCCCCCAGAACAGGCCTGGATGCCCAAGGCAGTCAGTGCCACATCCTGCCTCATTGCCCAGTTCCTGGGCACTACGGCAGCTCTGGCAGGAGGAGCAGGGACCAGAGCCGGGGAACAGAGTGGCAGGGCTGGAGGCCATCACTCTGCCCAGCCCCTTCCTGCAGCCAGGGGAACAGCAGGACTTCCCCAGGCAGGCACTGGCTGGTGGTCACAGCCAGCCACGGTTTCCCTGTCACTGCAGATGCCAGCCAGTGTCCTGCTACAGCCACCACATCAAGCCTGGCAGGAGTCCCCCGAGGCTGACACATCCCTGAGCAAGGGGCTGGCATGAGCGTGGCTGTGTGTCCCTGTGTGAGACAGTTCTGTTGTGCCACCTCAGCACCAGCCACCGGTTACCCGGCACGGGCACCGTCACCCGCTCCCCCCCGGGTGCCTGGCATGCAAGGCGCAGCAGGGCCGGGCAGCAGCTGCCCCCGATCCTCAGGGAACAGGAGGGACAGCAACGTACCCGTTGTGCTGGGGGGTGCAGGCGGGCGCCAGGGGCGCGTACGTCACGGGTTTCGTCACCAGCCCGGGCCGTGGGTTCGGAGGTGAGCCGGCCCCGAAGGGCCGAGCTGTTTTGTTGAGGGCGGTGCTGGGAGCGAAGTTATATTTCAGGGGTTCAGAGCAGGGGAGTGAGTCCTGAGCGAGACAAAACACACAGACACGGGCTCACACGTCAAGCAGCATGCAAGGGGCAGCCCTGGGCCAGGCAGAGCAGCAGGCAGCCAGGTAGGAAAGCCGGGCAGCACGTGCACCTTGGAGACCAGGCTCTGCCAGGCTGGCACGCACTCCACTGGGCACCTGGCCCAGCGACAGCAGGTCACAAACCCAGCCTGAGGGTCATTTGAAGATTAGTAAGTGCCCCGGACACTCGCTGCTGCCCGTGGCAGGGCGGTGCATGCACACACGCCGACTGCAACCGTCCCATGGCACAAAGCTGAATGCATGCAGGTGGCTTCTGCCCAGGAGCCACCAGTCACCAGCCCCAGCCCTGCCTCCCTGTGCCAGGGCACTCCCCAGCACTAGCAAACATGGTGCTGCACCTGCCCAGCCTCCTCCCCTGTGCTGGCCCCTCGGCATCCCTGCCCACACCCAGCACCAGCAGGGGCACAGACAATCTGGGCCCAGGCACCTACTGTGCAGATCCTGCTCCCTCTGATCCTCCATGGTGCCAGAGATCATAGCTGCTCCTCCAGCTGGGCTTGCTAGACCTTCAAACACACCCCAGCCCCCTAAAAGCCCCAAGAGCAATGTCCACTTGTTTCACTACACTGAGATTCCCTTCCCCTGAGATGAGGCTGAGCTGCCACTGCGGCATCAGGAGCAACACGTACCTTCTGCGGCTTCCCCAGCTGGGTCTGGGCTCTGCAAGAGAGGAGACAGATGGGCAGGTACTGGAGTTGGTCCAGACACCACCGGCATGCTGGTGCCTCAGGGATGCAGCACCCAGCTCAGGGGACACATGGCCAGCTGGCACTGCCCTGTGGCTTGCAGTCAGGTCAAGGCTTATCCAGGCAAGCAGAGCCCTTGGACACAGCCAGGGACTTCCAGGCTCTAAGTAATGCTGGGAGATGGTGATACCAGGAGGCAGCACTGGGCAGAGGGCCCTGATTACACTCCAGTCATACCAGAACCCCACGTTTGAGGGACTCACAACTCCTACCTGCTCAAGGTGAGGCAGAGCCTGTCCCCACAGGCACGGATCCTGTTCTGGGCCTCGATGTGTGTCATGGCACTGGTGCTCTCCCCGTCGATGTACAGCACCCAGTCGCCCACTCCCACGCCGGCCTGGGCTGCCTTCCCACCCAGAGTCAGCTGCAGGACAGACAGAGTTAGGGAGAGCTGGAACAGCCAAGCAGTGACATGGGAGTAGAGGGACATCCTCGTGAGGGCAGGAGCCTTCCAAGGCTCAGGATGCCCAGCACAGGATATCACACAGACCTGACCCAGGGAAAGTGGGGACTCCCAGATAACTCCCCACTGCCCAGTGCATGAGCCCAGAGCAGCCTCTTCCCCTTGGCAGCAGCAGAAGGCAAAGCACTTCTCCAGGGCACTGCCCAGCCCTTGCCCTCTGGCATGCCTGGGGACCCTGCCAGCACCCCAGGGCCTCATTGCCATGACGCCAAACACAGAGGCAGTGCTGCTTCAGCCTCAACAAGAAGCCCAGCCACGCTTTGGAGTCATCGCTATGGTCCCAGGGCAGGAAGAGAGCACAGTGAGTCAGGGCCACATCTCACTGCAAACCACAGGCATGTCCAGCCCTTCGCCTGGGGCGGGGAAGGACAGGGGAGGCACCCCTTGGGCACTCCCCCAGCCGCCCGCGCTCCGTTCCCACCAGGCACAGACATTACCTCATTCCCACAGAGGAGCAGGAGCCCTGCCAGGGCACGGAGACACCACCCCCACCCATGTTGCCCTGCTGGGGAGCACAGCCACAAGTTTCCCTTCCCGGCCACAGTGCCAGGGATGCGCCTTGCCCCTGCTGTGGCTCCGTGGCACGGCTGTAGAACCCCGTGCTGGCTGTACATCCCCTCCCCTCCCACCAGCGATGCACAGCCAGAGGCGAGCAGGGCCCGGGGCAGCGCACACAGCTCCCAGGCACTGACAGACAGACAGACAGACAGACGTGGGCAGGCTGCAGCCATTCCTGCTCCTCCAGCATGGAAGAACTCAAGGCGCTTGGACCCAGACCAAGTATTTCCTCAAGTCCTGTTCGACATGAACATAAAAGGAGCGAGCCAGATTCCCAGCACTGTCAGAGGGCTGAAAAATCCCTGCCACAGAGTCCCGGCCCCTCCTTGCAGAACCCGGCTCGCCCCAGAGCCACAAATCCCTTCTCTAGGCCAACACCAGCCTCCATGCAAGGCCAAACACCACATATGGGCTGGATGTGGCCCAGTTCCACCTGCATCCCACTGCTATTCCCAGCAGGACATGGGTACCCCCACAGTGCCCTCCCGTTTCTCCGCCCGGCACAGGAGGGTGCCCTCAGCAGCAGTGATGCCCCCAAGCTCCTGGCCATGCTCTGCAAGCCCCAGCTTGCTGCCCTGGAGAGCTGGGGAAGGCACGGGGCAGCTGCGTGGGTTTGGAGGCAGGAGCAGGAGCTGGGAGAGGTTTTCACACGGCTGCCCAGGAAGGAGAGAGCATGCCAGGCTGCGTCATGAAGCCTCACCCAGCCTGGCCAGCACTTCCCGTCCCCCTCCATGCCAACGTGCAGGAAACCCCTTTGACAGGTGCCAGCTCAGCCAGGAGCCATGCCAGTGCCAGCCTTCCTATTTCCCTCCCAGACCCGCTAACCAGGGCTTCCTTCCTCCCCTCTCCACCCAGTCTTTTGTTCCCTGCACCTCCATCAACACATCCAGAGAGGTGCTCACCTACTGCCCTGTCCCCTCCAGGACAGAGCCTTCCTCAGCGCATCCCTCAGTGCCTTCCCACCACTAGCACCCAAGTGTCTCCTCTTTCCCAGCTGGCAGATGCCAGGAGGTGCCACACAGCATCCAGCTATCCAGACTGCAGTCCTTATCACAGCTCCTGCACAGGGACCATGGTTTACAGCCTGCCTAGCCAGGGTGTCAGCACCCTAGCAGGCCCCGTGTCAGCACCCTAGCAGGACCATGGTGGCACCTCTTTTGTGTGATCAGTGAGCTGAAACAGCTTCACTGCTCACCCAGGAGTGCCACAGTGATGGACACAGCTGAAAGTCAAGCCAATGGACAGCATTGTCCTGTGCTGCCCACCCTTGCAGACCTGCAGAGCAGGGCCCCACTGCAGCCCACAAAGCTAGGGCAGGATGCTTCCTTCCAGCCTCTGCAGCAGAGCCAGCTCATGGGAAGCAGTAGCCAAGGACAGTGGCATGCTCTGGGCAGGAGCTCTGGGTCTGGGGGTGCCTCTGCAGTGCAGAGCAGCACAGGCTGACACTTTCCCATCAGAGCACACCGCCCTGCCATGCAGCCCAGCCTCACCAGAGAGCCCCCAAATCTGGCTGCATCCCCTGGGAATGTCCTTGCTGCTCCTGCCCTGCCCAGGACAGCAGCACTGCCCAAGCCTCACCGAGAACTGCTTCACGAGGCCCCTGCCCCAGGCTCTGGGAGGCTCCTCCATCCAACCAGACCCTTTGTTAAGAACTGGCTCGCAGCCAAGAGAAACATTTTTTAGAGAATAAACTCGCTGAATCTGTCTCTGCGTGCTCAGCAGAGATCAGCAGGCCCCAGGGCAGGAGGCGACTCCAGCCTCACACAGTGCCCTCAGGGCCCATGCTCCATGCTGGGATGCTGTGGAGATCTGTGCCCTCTGGGGGACGTGTGCAGTGCCCAGCTCGAGCCAGGGGCAGGTCCCCACGCAGCACTCGATGCCACAGGCAAAGCTGTCCTTTGAGAAGCCGCCTCCGTGCCAGCTGCCCAAGCGCCAGCAGCACAGGCGATGCACTCACATTCCAAGGCTTATAAGGCAATTGCGTGGCCAAAGCTGTGGCCAGCACCCGCCCAGGGCCGGGGACCTGCACACAGTCAGGGTCAGACCCGGGAACATTGCCACAGGAGAGGCTCAAACCAGCGGTCACAGGCACAACCAGCTGTGGCCAATGGCTCTCACTGGAGAAATGGGAGAATTTTGCGGAGGGAGTCACATCCATGCAGGTAGCAGTGCAGCTTCCTCCTCTCCCTGCCCATTTCAGGAATGACCACAGGCACAGAGCTGGGAGCTGTGCTGGGGAAATGAGGGTGCTGAAGGGCACTGGCTAAGTCCTGGGATGCCAAGCCCAGTGCTGGGGTGCAGACCAGGAAGCCAGTCCCACATCTCAGAGTGCAGATCCCCTCCTGCTGTGGTGGGAACACTCCGGAAGGGGCCTCCCCTGCCCCCCTCTGCAGAGGCTGTGCAGAATTTCACGTTTCTGCTGCAGCTCTCTGCCCGGAACACCCCCGTGCTGAGCTGCAGCTGATAAGGGACCAAGGAGGCTACGTGGAGCCAGGCAGGGCAGGATGCAGCATTCCCGGGGCCCCAGCTCATCTACATCCCCCGTAGGGCTCTGCCTCAGCCACTGCGGCCTCCCGCCCACAGAGGCAGGAGGAAGGATGGGTGTCACCAGCCTCGGTTTCTCTTACCCTGGAGATGGAGAGTGGCATGCTGAAATCCTTCCCTCCCTGCAGCCTGAAGCCCCAGGGTGCCGGCCCATTCAGCATCACCTTGTAGGACTCCATGTCGCCCATCTCTGCAAGGGAAGAGGGTGTGATCCCAGCGTTAGGGTATGTGGAAACAATGCAGGAAGAGCAGGCGAGGAGAAGGCTCAGTGCCTGGCAGGGTAGGACAGGAGGCAGGTCACGTTTCCAGCTGTAACTCCACCCTGATCATCCTACACTGTGGTTAGAGACGCACCCCAAATCCATCAGCATCTCCTCCAGCAACATCAGAGCTGAGGGGCCCAGGCTAACACTGACTAGTGCCAGGGAGCCAGGCACAGCCCTGCTGCTACCCACAGTGGAGTGTCTGTGGGCTCTGCTCTCTTCCCAAACCTGGGATGTGCTCTCCTTTGCAGCACCCCAGGAACTCCTGCTGCTGAGAGCCAAGGCTGTTCAGACCGCAGAGAATCAACAGCAGGTACAGAACGGTAGGAACCAGAAGCATTTTTGCCGGATGAATTAGCAGCAGCCGCAGCACAGGAGCTGCGTGATGCCACCCGAGGCGCCTGGCAGAGAAGAGGGGCTGGCGCTCCGGCAGCCGGCCGAGCAGATGCTCCCTGGGAGCGAGCCCATCTCCGGGGCTTCGGCAGGAGGGAATCCCGGCACTCCCCTGCCTGACAGCTGTCAGCCGGCCAAGGCTCCGGACAGATGGGCCAGCACCAGCCTCCCGTCACCTTTTACCTGGAAGAAGCCGCCAGACCCCTCCGAACGGCCCCAGGACCTTCCTGCCGAGGGCGGCCAGGGCCGGCGGCGGGGCTCCCCACGCCTCGCACGGGCCGGGGGCCAGCGTGCCCCCGCTCTCCCCGGGCCGGTGCGGTCTATATAAGGCGTGTAAGACGACACCAGCCCGCTCCCCGCTCGGGAGGGCCGGGGGAAGAGCTGCGTGTCAGGCATTCCCGGCGCCCGGGAGCCGCGCAAGCCCCAGCGAGGCGCCGGGACGGGGCGGGCGGAGACCCCACACCCCTCCCCGGCGGGACGGGGCCCGACTGCACGGGGGTCCCCGGCGTGCACAGGCTGGGCAGCCCTGCTTATTGCTGGGCGGTCCCACCCTTACCGCGGGGCGCCTCGGGACCCCTCCCCATCCCACACCGCCGCCCCCCTACAGGGGCTGGGGACGCCGGCTCTGCCCCACACGGGCCCGACCCTGACCACCCGCTTTCCCTTTAAGCCAAGCCCCAGCCCTCCACCCCTCACACTCCCATCCCCCCGGCAGAGGACGGAGCCGCACGGCCCGGCTCCCCGGACTCACCCGCGGCCAGCGGGGCCCGGCGAAGCGGGCGGGAGCGGAGCGGAGCGGGCGGACGCGGGACTCGAACCCGGGCACCGCCCCCGCCCGGCCCGGCCCCACTAATATAGGACCGGGGGGAGGCGGAGCCAGCGGGCGCTTCGGCCAATCCCCGAGCGCGCCTCTGCCTGGCGGGGCGGGCGCGGCGGCGCCCCCTAGCGGGGAGGCTGGAGCTGCCCCCGCCCGCCCCCCCCGCCCCCGGCAGCAGCGGCGGAGCCGAGTCGGGGCAGGGCCTTTATTGACCGAACGGCACCGGCCACATCAAGCCCAGTCCCGCGCTCCGGGGCTCTCCCGGCTCAGCAGCCGCACCAGCTTGGCCCGAAGGGTGCTGTGAGGCTTGTGGCTGGAGCGCCCCGACAGCGCCGCCTGCCCTGCGCGCCCCCAGCCCGCGGCCCGCGGGTTCTGTGCCAGGGCGGCCCGGTTGTCATAGACGGGCCCCCCATCACTGCTGTGGCCCTCGGGGGCCTGCCGGCGCCCCAGCTCCCACTGCCCTTCCTCCTCCTCTTCCTGGGCCCCGGTTGGATGTGCTTCTGCGGTGAAGATGTTCTCGTAGAGATGCTCAGGGAGCGGCTTCCCCACGGCCCAGGGCTCCCCAGAGCCTGGCTGCCCTGACACAAAGAGGGGCTGCTGGCCCCGGGCGATGGAGGCATAGACGATGGGGCATGAGCCCTCCGGCTCTGGTGGGGTGAAGCGGAGAAGGTTGGCAGGGGGGTGGGAGGCGGGCTGTGTCCCCCCCAGGGCTGGGCTGGGCTGGGGATCATCGGTCCCAGACCCCCAGGGCTGGGGCTCAAGGCCCTGTGCAAAGAGCTGGGGCTCTGAGACACAGAAGAGTCTGGGGTCCAGGGTGTCCTTGCCCTGCTGCTGGCAGGCAATGGCAGCAGCCACAGCCCGGCAGAGCTCAGGGGCCCGTGGGGTGCTGAAGGTGAAGGTGCCCTCGCCGGAGTCACTGCGGCGGCCAGCCTCGAAGGAGAAGACAGCCTGCAGGGTCAGAGGCGAGAGTGAGGGGCTGCCACCCACCCTGGGCAGGCAACAGCCCCAAAAGGGAGTGGGGAACGCACCTGATCCTGGCCAAACTTGCGAAGGAAGGGGTAGGGCCAGGTGAGCAGAGGCTGGCGAGACTGGGGGTCCTTCAGCGTCAGGCTCTGGGGAAGGGCTGAGAGCAGGTAGTGCCCGTGCAGCCCACAGCGGGTGGCTGCGTCTGTCTGGACCACCAGCACCAAGAATTCAGTCACTGTGAGAGCCGAGCAAGCCAGAGGTCAGCACCGCAGGACTGAGCTGCAGCCCACCCCAGCCCTCTCCACCACCCCTGCACATACGGTCCTGCCAGGACGAGTAGAGGGAGTTCTCCTCCATGGGGACAGCGGGGCCAGGCTGGGTGCTGGCACTACTCGGCACTGTCTCTTTTGCACCCTGAAACAAAGAGATGTGAGTATGACCTGGGACAGGGGGTGGGGAGGACAAATCCCCTGCCTGCCCTGGAGCTTCGCAGTTCACCCAAGTAGGGCTCTGGGCTCTGCCAGACCCCTTGGTACCTGGAAAGCCAGCTGGCAGAGCTGGGTGATCCATTCATCGCGCTGCTCAGCTGCCAGCACATAGCTCTTCTCCGTGGTGGTGAGGTAGAAGGCAGCGGTGGCTTTGGGGCAGCTCTCTGTGCCCGCCGGGCCCACAGAGACGCAGTCAGAGAGGCGGATCACCCGGCGGGCACACCGCTGCAGGGACGTCTTCTCTGGAATCGTGCCATCATCCCGCACATCAAACTTCTCCATGCGGGCCACGCCGGACGGGCTGGCAGCGAACAGCTGGGCTCTCATCTTCCTCCAGGACCTCTAATGCATGGAAAGGGCAAAGCAGGGAAAAAATGGATCAGTGAAGAGCTGGCTGCTGCATCTGGCAGTACTGCCCTCCATACAGGGCATGAGGGGCATTGGGGAGTCCTGGCCTGCACCCACCAGATGCTGTTGGAGGGCACAGAGAACAGGGGCCAGCACAGACCCCTGAACTGTGGGGCAGGGCAGGCACAAAGCTGGGCAGAGGGGCGCCTTGCCCCGAGCAGGCTTGGCATGGCTCACTGGGTGAGTCACACTCACTCCTGGCTCCCTGAGCACCAGGTCCTGCTCTTTGTTCCTTGCTGCAAGTGCTGGCCTGCCGACCTATAGCTGAGCTCTCGAGCTGTTCTCAGGACAGACCCTGATGCAAATTAAAGCCATTTTGAGCTGCTAAGGCTCCTGTTGGCAGCTTCACATCTGCTCAGCAGCCTGCTTCCTCCCAGGGGAGCATCTGTAGCACCAGCACCTTCCCAGTCTGTCATGGGATAGCGGGGGCGCGTGCCACCATGTACCTCAAAAGTGCAGCAGAGCCTCCGCCCTGCAGGAACCAGATGCAGCCAAGCACCCAAAATACCCACCACCCCCAGCCCACCTGCCTCCTCCATGGCAGGGCACCAGCTCTTCACACACACGGCTGCCTGCTGCACTTTCAGGGCTTGTTTCTTCTTCAGCAGGGAGGTCAGAGTGCGATTGCAGCCCCACACATCCACTGAGACCCCCACAGGACATGGCCACCCTGCCATGGCGTGACCAGTGTGCCGGCAGAACCTACTTTGCCAACACCCAACTGCTCTCTGGAGCTGGCCCGACCCCAGGTACTCTCACCATGTCACCCATACCCTGCCCCAAGAGCTGCAGCACTCAGTGCCCCTTCCAAAAGCACAGAGAAGCAGCCCAAGCCATGAGGGTGTTGCTGGATGGCGCTGGCCCCACAGGGCCAGGCCGATGGAGGTCACAGGGACACGTCCCACGTGCTGGCCCAGGGTCCCGCTCACACACACACACAGATGCTGAAGCTGCGCCATATTAACACGTTTATTCTTCCATTGAGACTCTCGTGGTGACCAAGCAAGAAGAACCCAACACACACGTGAGCCAGAGTGGGTGCCCACACAGATGAGTCCCCTCAGCCCCACGGGAAAACCCCACTTATGGGGCTGCTGAGCCCAGGGCTCCCCCACTGCTGCAGTTGCCCCTTCTCAGGCTGCTAAGGGCCCAGCCCCAGGCCCAGCATCATGTCAAATCAGAGCAAACCCTCTACCAACCCCAAATCCACCCTTTACCTTTCCAAATTTGGTGTGCTGCACATAAAGGATCCCATCCTTCACTGGTCTCTCCATGGGCCGAGTTCACCTGGGCAGCCAGCGCAAGGATAAGGGACTCGGGCTACCCGCAGCAGAGAAAATGTGACTGCTGCAGTCGAAGGAAAGGCATGGGGCAGACTTCCGTCTCTGAGAGACTTCCCCTTTTTGGGGTGTGGGATGGGGGGCAGAGGCTGGGCTGCAGGAGGTGTCCGTGTGCCCGCCCTCCCCCTCACAGCAGGGCAGTGGGGCAGAACGCGGGGGCAGAGCACAGGAAGCACCTCGGGGAGGGCCTGACATGAGCACAGCATGCTCCACCTCACCCTGGCTGCATCCTCCCAGCATGTCTGGGGAGACAGGAACAGCCACCTGAGAATGCACAAATCCAGGTGAGGGAGATGGGCCCAGAGAAACTGGGTGGATTTGTGAGGAGCAACACAAGACCATGACCTCACCACTTCAGGGGGCTGGCAGAGGCAGCAGACCAGTGGCCCCACCTGGGGCTTTCCCTTGCCCTGAGGCACTGCTACCTGCTTGCCCAACACACCGCTGATGTAATGGGCTGTTGCAGCACAGCTCCATACATTTCCTGCAGGGCCTGAGCTGGCAAAGTCCCAGTGACCAAAATCCTAGAAATGGGGCCACAGCAGTACAAGACAGGCCCCTAGGCTGAAAGGAAGCCCAGGCCCACCCAGGGGCAGCACATTGTCCAGGCTAGAAGTCCATAGAGCTGTGGGCCAGGTAGTCCTTGCGGCCGATGTTGCTGACTTGCTTGGTCTGCATGGCCTCCAGCTTGGGGCAGTCGGTGATGCGATGGCCCAGGCCACCACAGAAGGCACAGCCCCGCTCACCTGCAATGGGAGGGATGGGGTCAGGGCCAGGACAATACCACGCCAGGGCAGCACAGTGCCACACCAAGACAGCAGCCCCCACCCCAGAGCAAAGGGGCTACACCAGTGTCTTCCCAATGCTGTGGCACTGGGAGCTGGAGGGTCCCGTCTGGAGCCCAGGTTTTGCAGCAGCCCCACAGGGGTCCCTGTGTCAGCCTGGGGTCTCTCACCATTGATGTCCAGCATGGTCTCGTCCCCACAGTGCAGCACCTGGAGCACCGGTGGCACCTTTTGCTTCGCCTCCAGGAGCAGAGCCTTCAGGTCCATCAGCACTGACTCATCTGGGGGCACAGACACAGGTCAGGCAAAGCCATTCTGCTTGCTCAGAACAACCCCCTGGCACTGCCCAGCTGCCTCCTCCAGCCCCTAGCCCCGTGCTGTTCCTCACCACAGGCCTTGTTGATGAAGGTGGTGGCAATGCCAGTGTTGCCTGAACGGCCTGTACGCCCGATGCGGTGAACTGCAGAGACAGGGACAGGATCAGCCCCGGGTGAGCACGGTGGGACAGAGCATCCCTGTCCCAAGACACTGCAGAGACAGGCACAGAGCCTTGCTGGCCTCCAGAGCCCTCCCACAAGGCCCAGTGCCTACCATAGTTCTCAATCTCCTCTGGCATGTCGTAGTTGATGACGTGCTGGATGGCTGGGAAATCCAGGCCCTTGGAAGCGACATCAGTGGCAACCAGGACATCCTTCTTCCCATCCCGGAAGGCCTCAATGGCTTTTGTCCGTTCTTCCTGATCTGCAAAGGCCCAGCAGAGATCAGCCATGGCAGAGCTCCCAGCCCTACCTACTGCAGCAAACACTGTGGCCTCAGAGTCAAGCATCACTTCCTCAGGCTGCCTTTCTCCCAGTGAGGGAGCAGAGGGGCCTCCACATCCCATAGGGATCTGCACTGTGTTTATGCCTGCTATGTACGCTGTGGAGCTCACTCCTAACACTGTCACAGCCCTTCCTCACACCATCAACAACTGCTCCAGGCTGGGACCTTCTGTGGCC